AAAATGTCCTGGCTACACTTTTCACATTCCAACCAATTCTCCTTTTTCTTACAGAATATCCTGTTTCAGCCAGAAGTGCATTTCAACTGATGCGGATAGCAGATGGTGCGATTGTTTAGTAAATAATTATTTAAATAGAGTTTTTTCATCAAATAAAATATATTATATGGCTCCAGAAGAAGTGGAACATATTCAGTAATATTTATTATGATATTTAAATGACATATTTTTTATGGCACTCTTTAGTGTGCTTTTCTGTCACTTTAAAGCCGGACGTTCTAGATTCTCTTTATGTGCAATTATATGAAAAAGAGGCGCCACAGAAACTGTCAAATAACAATGTGAATTGTGAGCTGGTCAGCACGTCGCCCCCATGAGGTGACCCGAGGCATCTATAATAAATCTGATTTCATTAGGCTTATTACACAAGGTTTCACTTCATATGATTATAATTATGGATGTCCCGATCAGGTTTTTTGCCCTTGAGTTCGAGTCATTTGATTTTAAGTGTCTACCAATACCCAAAACCTGATTGAATACTTTTATGCCACATAAAAAAGAATAAAAAGGAGCGAAGAAACAGACCCAGAATGTCTTTTCCTTTTTGTTTGATTTAACTTACTTTAACATTCAACAACTCTGTTAAAAATCAGAGCACTTCTGTGAGGCATCTTGAACAATCAAGTAATAAATAACATCAACTCTTCACTGGCAGTTTACACATCTCATGTTTTGCTATAGCAATGTTGTCATCATCAAATTTATAAAACCTCCAGACCGCAGACATACTCGCGCTTTCTACTTCAAGCTGCTTCCGTGTTCTACTTAGCCAGCGTTTAACCAATAGCGTCTCTGCAACAAAGTGATGTCATGCCGCACGCGTTGCTGTTTCTGTGTGAAGTCAAGAAAGAGGTCTAACTCTGTGCCACCGCATAACTATAGATGTGTTCAAAAATAATGAGCATTTATATAATATACATACATATTCGAGTCCTGATTGGGAGGTAACGTCCAATTCCGATCGATTCTTAAACCTTGTGATCTGGCCCTATTTCTGATCACGTGATCTGGACATCCCTAATTATAAATGATAACATTTTGAATACTATTGAGTTTGTTTAAAAAAAAAATGTTTCGACTGCATCTCTAGGGAAAGCGAGACTGGAAAGACAAGACGACGGAAAAGGGAAACAAGCAGAGAGAAAAGGAAAGCTAAAGCAAAATGAATAGAGAGAAGGAGTGGAGAGGAGAAACAGAAAAAGGGGAAGGGAGAGAGGCTTTGTCATGCTGAATGTAATAAGCAGTAGGTAGTGTGTCTTATGGTAGGTGATTTATGGGGCCTGTCCTGAGCCAGCCAGCACTTTGTCTCCTCTAGCATGGAGGATGAATGGGCTGCTGTCAAGCCAGCCAGAACACCCCTCCTCCTGCTCTCTCTCTCTCTCTCTCTCACTCTCTCTCTCTCTTTCTCAGTGCCTGGTTTTCTCCTCTAGTTTATAGCTTGTAGAGGTTGGTGATCCAACCCATTTCCTTCTCCCTGGCTCGCGTGCGCACTCGAAAGCCCTCAGTCATCTGAAAAATCAGTGCAACTAAAACAGGTCAACCCCTATCGTGTAATGCCTGATGTCACCGCTGACAAACTAATAGACATATTAAATGCATTAGTCATTAGTGTAATCCCCTCCATCATCAGAGCCCCCTGCAGTATGGCAGGAATGCTAATCCATGTCAGCTGATGGGCCGCTCTCATTAAAGCAGTTTCCTCGGTGAGCCTGCAGTTATCACCCGACCTGTCATTGACCTCCGCTCTAATCCAACAGAGACTCTTGACTGACCTGAGAATAAATAGCAAGACCTCAGTTAAATTGTTCTCTGGATTTTTCTACGGCCTGCTTCTAATTTTTTTTGTCCCCTGGCAGAAAATGAGAGATGGACCGATAACCCCCTAAAACCTTCCAGAGACTTTAAAGTCAACACGAAATCAAAATGGACTATTTGTTTTCCTAACGCACATTCCTGGTCTAATTGTGAATGAATCACTGGTGTATATTATTACAAAGAAAAAAAACACTGTTTGTCTTCCTGATTAACATTTAATAACTTGGTCCTCCTTTTGAACATCTATCCTTCCTGCAGACATCCCAGATCCCATACAGTCTGTTTGATTATTTTAACCAGCAGGCGAATGGCTCTTCAAATTCACACTTACGCAAAATAAAAGTGTCCTGGAAACACTTTTCACAGTGCAATCAATTACCATTTTTCCTCACTGAAATTTCAGTTTCTACCAGTGTTATGCCACAGTAGGGTGGTAAAATTGGCTGATAATTAATTTGGAAAAAGAGGGAGTGAGACAACATCTGAATAAATAATGATGATAATTTATGACAAGGACTACTTTTAAATAATCATAAAGATATAGATCTTGACTCCAAATTGTTCCATATATAAAGAATAGTGGAGTCAACACCACAACTAAAGCACAGAGGAATAGTATCAAGGCAAGGCAAGTTTATTTATATAGCACATTTCATACACAATGGTAATTCAAAGTGCTTTACATGAACAGGAATAAAAGAAACAAATAAAAGAAAATGAAAACAATGACCAATAAAAATTATTAAAAACAGATTCAATTTTTTTAAAGCAGGTTTTAAAACAATGAAAAAGAAAATAAACTTAATATTGTGATCTGTCGGACGTAGCGCAGTGCTCATTGTGTAAAGGCACATCTAAACAGACGTGTTTTCAGTCTTGATTTGAATGTGCCTAATGCTGGAGCACATCCGATCATCATAGCTGACCGTAGCAGCTGATGGCGGATTTACCCTGCTTTGACTGAACTCTTGTAATTTCTCTATTTTTTAGCATTCATTCATTCATTCATTCATTCATTCATTTATTCATTCATTCATTCATTCCATTATTTTCTTTTCGGCTTAGTCCCTTTAAAGATCAGGAGTTGCCACAGCGGAATTAACCACCAACTTATCCTGCATATGATTTTAGGCAGCGGATACCCTTCCAGCTGCAACCTAACACTGGGAAACACCCATATACACTATTTTACACATACACTATGGCCAATTTAGCCTATTCAATTCACCTATAGCGCATGTCTTTGGACTGGGGGAAACCGAAGCAGCCAAAGGAAACCAACACAAACACGGGGAGAACATGCAAACTACACACAGACATGCCAACTGTCCCAGCCGGGGCTCGAACCAGCAACCTTCTTAATCGTGCTACCCACTGCACCACCCTGACGCACTTTTTTATCCTAAATATAAAAATCATTAAAATCTTTTTCAGAATATACTTATTTTCCAGCTGTCAACAATAAAATCATTGACAGCCAATCAAGATACATCCTGCATTACAGAGATAGATGATTTAAAGCAGTAGCCAACAAAGCTTTAGAATAAACAGAACAATACGAAGCATCAGTGTGGAATGTAATAAAGTTATTACATTGTAAAAAATAATGACAAACATTCGTGACAGCTAGGCATTTGTGTTTTCAGGGTATACAGCTGTTTGGAAAAAAATCCAGGCTTAAAAACCGTCAAAATTTTCTGCTATACTGTGCCTAAGGTATGTGTATTATTTTTTATTTACATTGCCAATTTAAATTGTTAAAAAAAATCTGTGTTTTTGAAACAAATGAAGACAGCAGAAGTCAATGATTCATTTGAATTACTTAGCCTAACATGTTTACTGCTCCAAAATATTTTAAAATGTTTCCCAAATTAAAATATATTGTGTACAAAGCGGAAAAGGGTTTTGTTTTTTACCCAGACATTTAAAAAGAATAGATTTTAGAGCAGTAATCTTAATACCGTGAAACTGTGATACTTGTATCCAAGGTTATCATATACCGTCAGAATTTTATACTGACCCATGCCTAGTGACAGCAACTGTTTTTGTCCATTTTAAGCAGGGCTAGACAGAATCTGTGGACATTTTTTGCTATTTCTGTGGAGAACTATGTAAAAAGTCTGCAGACCTATGCAAAATGATTTTGGAAGTATCATAACTAAAAACCTATTGTATGACATTAAAATAATACCCCTTTACCCTTTATTTAATTTTTACAATGCAAATCCAATTAGATTCACTTATTTGGTAAACAAAGCAAGTGTCTCGTAAAATATATCTACTAAAAGACAGAAAATATTACTTTACAAACTGTATTGTAGATTAATCATATGAACATTTTTATATTACTGTTATTATATCATAATACTATTACTGAAATTAATTTAAAAACCTAATAAATATAAATGCACACACATTTACACAAGTAAATACATAGGCTCAACGATGGACAAAAAATCGGTGCATTTTCTCCGTGCAGATTCTGTGTGAGCCAACTTATAAGTTAATCAGGTTATTATATTTTTAGCTGGACTAATGACTAGAAAAGTTGATTACACAAAAAAAGTTTCAGTTGTTTTATTGTAGTGTAGATTTCTATGCTTTTATTGTTCTTGGCCTGAACCACTCTTAAATTATTGAATATGTTTGCAACAGAAAGAAGTATACTGTTTCAGCGCATAAAAATATTGATTTAAAATGACAAGATGAGATTTTTCTTATTTCTTTCTTCACAATGAGATAAAAAATGTGCATTTAGTAAACAGGCTGAATTTCCATTTCATGACAATTTTAAAACCACATAAGTTGGTATGTGTTTGCTGGACTGGATTGAGTAAGCTAATTTGAAGATGCGTGTTTTTGTGTCAGTATAACTGCATATTTTGGTCTCCAGGAGATCATTTGTATTTCAGTGTGCATTCTCAGCTCTTCTGCTGACAGTGAATATATGTGTGTGTGTGTGTGTGTGTGTGTGTGTGTGTGTGTGTGTGTGTGTGTGTGTGTGTGTGTGTGTGTGTGTGTGTGTGTGTGTTCGCAGAAGCAGATGGCGTATTAATAGTGTAAAATATGATCCGCAGGAACCCAATATGCTTGCATGCTTGTGTTTATGGAAATCACAGTGCACCATGGGAATAAATAATTACCTTTCTGTTCGACCGTAGTCCAAGCCACAAGCTAGCAGGCAGAGAACCCAAAACAATAATTACAACAACAGTCAACTATATATACTTCTCTCTAATTCTATCAGGTTCTGCGGCGCTATGAAAAGACCAACTCATTCTGCTTGTCAGACAGAGGGCAGCGTTGCTAAAACTGAGCAGCTATTCCCACGGTCTCTCTCTCTGTCGCTCCCGCTTCGTCTCTTCCATCTGCTGAAGATCTAATGCTTGATTAGAGTTGACAGCGGAGAAACAAAAGGAAGGGGACGCTAACAGAAGGAGGCACAACAATTAGCACACAAGCAAGGTGAGTGTTTATCTGTTCCGGCTGGCACTCGTACCCCCCGTCCTTCTGCCCTGATAACTGATGAACAACCCAAGAGCTCTTGAGTCAATCCAATAAACATGATCAATCATAACAGCTACATTAAGACGTGTGCATTTAATTGCTTGACTTCTGCAGATAATGTGCTTTCTCCAAGACTAATGAGAACAGACCACTTTTGCGCACTGCAAGGGTTTGTTTGTGGTTGAAAATAGAGAGAAAAGGATGTTTAATCGGATTCTCATACTCCAATTTAATATGTAAAGACAATTAAAAGGAGGTTGCTTGTTTTAGGATGATTTGACAGTGTAAACACTGTTTGGGCTGCCACTTGTTTGTTTGTTGACTCCAGACCAGGCTAAGGCTTGCTTAGCCAATGGCGTGAGTGAAGGCAGGGGCTGTTCGTCACAGCAGCCAATGAGAGATCAGGGGCGTGTTAGGAAATCTGTTTGAAAAGCAATCAATATGCAATTCCATTTAATGATGTCATTGGTGATTTTATGGTCTATATTAGAAACACTTTAACAAAATTCAGCTCAGCACAACCGATCATTGACACATACTGACTGAGACACACACACACATAGGCAGGCCCTCTGGGATCTTGAGTGGATTCCCCGTGTACTGTTTTACTGAGCAATCATCAAAGGCCATTAAATCAAGTGAGTGTCCACAGAGACAGGAAATTGAGGAGGGGATTACGATCTTTGCATGATGAGGAGGGGCAAGATTTATGTGTCATTTATTGAGAAGGAGACTGTAAAACTTAATTACAGAAATTTCCCTCACACACACACACAACACTAAATGCACATAAAGCACAATTCATCCACACACACACCCTCTCTCACATTCTCTCCATCTATCCATTCCCCCTGCATATATTTATCTATACATAGTTCGCGATCTCCAGAAATGTATATAGGACTACGTTTTCAGAATGAGCCTGTATTGTTATATGCAATATTCCAGTTTTGCGCATAAATTTAATTTGCATCTTTAATAGTTTGACATTTATGCACGTTTTCACATATTTTGTTAGTTTTGTTGTTGCAGTTTAACTAATGGCCTTAGTGAAATCAGCAGACTTTTTTTTTATTTACAGTAAATGAGTTACTATAGGGGCAACACGGTCACCTCACAGCAAGAAGGTCGCTGGTTCAAGCCCCTGCTGGGTCAGTTGGCATTTCTGTGTGGAGTTTGCATGTTCTCAGTGTTGGGTTGCAGCTGGAAGAGCATCAGCGTAAAACATATGCTGAATAAGTTGGCGGTTCATTCTGCTGTGGTGACCCCTGATTAATAAAGGGACTAAGCCGAAAAGAAAATGAATGAATGAATGAATGAGTTACTATGTGTTAATGATAAATGAAACCCAATCCCAATCTGAAAAACAAAAACACGCACTATTGAATCATTCAAAAACAGCCAATAAAAATGGTCTGAAAGTTGCAAACAAAAGCAACAGCCTCATTAAACCTGTCAAATGAAGACTAATTCCTCTCCTCCGCAAAAAGTGTCTGCTTGACAAACGTAAAGTGCTTACTCAAGGTGTATATAAAACTCGAGCAGGCTCTTTAGATGAACAGCATGCCCAGAACCTTTGCACCAGGCCTAATTACTCTAGTAGCTGTGAGTTGAGGGCGGCCAGTTTCCATTCATCTGAAAGACCCCGCACCAGATGTTTCTAAAAGGAGGATTCCTTTTCTTCTCCTCTCCCCTTCTTTCATGAGTCCCTGACTAACTTTTTGACCTCCTGCGGGTCTTGTGTGTGAGGGTCAGGCAGAGGTGGGGAGGTTACGCTGAGGTCGAGACACATTCAATACAGCACCAACTGCACCTCCTGCGTGCCACATCCATCTCCCCTCCACTCTCGTCCCTCTCCTCCCCCTGTTCCTTCAGACAGGCCCTGAAGAGCCACAGATGCCGTTGCCCTCTGTTTTCTGCAATCCGTCTTCAGGAGGGGGGGGGGGCACAAAGAGGATGCTTGTCAGGCCTAGTGGAAGAAATACGGCCCTCTCTCTACCTTCACGCACAATACGGCCAAACAATAAACACTGCTTGTGTACACATTTCATGACAGAGTAATGTGGCCATAAATACCAATACAGACACTCCCTCTCGTAATGTCTCTGTTTTCCTGCATGCAGAGATACACACATGGCGTAATGGTAATCATAGGACACAGCTCTCGCCTACTGGTGGGACAGTTTTATTTTATACAATTTTATTTTATACTGGTGGGACAAGCTTATTTTCAATTATTATTGAAATCAGGGAAAGTTTACTTTATTAGAAATGTTTAGTAAAGAAAAGTTGTATCATTTAACCTTAATTAGTGTGTTTTCAGTACATTATTTGATATATTTGTTACCATGCAAGTATTGACAGCATTTATGTTTCATGTTAAATCATAAATAAAATTACAAAAATAATATCACTGAGCAATTGGTGTAGTTTGTTTTAATAGTATTATTACTTTTTTGTATTAGTAATTTTGTTGTTTTTGTCTTTTATTAATTGTCTATATAGTATAATTTTAGTATGGCTACTATGAGATATTAGTATGACTAGTAAACTATAGTTTTGCTAATCGATTAAATTAGTTTTTATACAAACTTTTTTGTTCCCATTTTTGTTAACGCTTCAGTAATCTGATTGTGTTTTTGTAATTAAAAGCATTATTTAGTGATATTTTAGTATAACTTAGTAACTATAGTAGTTTTACTTAAAGTTTGAATTAGTTTTTCAAGAGTTCACACTTAGCTGATGATTGATTATAAAGCTTTTTTGGCATGTTGTCCCGAAAGACAGCCCTAAATTCATAAGATCCTCGTGCCCAGGGCTCCCTCCTGTTTGCTAGGCGAGAGGAGAGTTTGAGCTCAGGTAGATCTCGAGAACTCCCCTGCTGTAGTAGCTAATGAACAGATAGTGATTGCTCTTAAGAGATAACTACTTACTAGGAGCATGTCTATGGTGCTGATTTGGATTAGTCAATTAACTTAAGTTGCATGTTTTTGGACGGTGTGAGGCAACAGTGCTAACCACTGGGCCGCCATGTCACCTATCTAGGAAAAGAGGTGGAGTAAGGGTGGAAAGGGGGATTTTTCAAAATGAAGATGGCTGTTATAAGGAACTTATGGTATTTATAGTGGCTTAGGAATCTCTGATTGGTGAATCATAAACTGGATAATGCAAGACATGCCGCAAGCAATCATAAGCACGTGATCCTCTTGAAATTAGTTTATAAATAAACTTCACTTATTGTAACATTTTTGTCTTTGTTTTAATTTTTGTGTTTTAACAAAGACTACTGACTGCAGACCCCATTTGGTGCACTGCAAAGGTTTGTTTGTGGTTGAAAATGGAATCGGATTCTCATATTCCAGCTTAATATGAACAGACAATTAGAAGGAGTTTGTTTGTTGTATAAGACAATCAATATGCAATTCAACAAAATTCAGCTCAGCACAACCGATCATTGACAAATACTGACTGAAGCCTCCTTCACACTAAGAGCGACTTGCAGCGGCAAAGCAACAATCGACTGTTCATTTCAACAGAGAACGAGCGACTTCCGACAACCTCCATCTACGTGAGTGACAACGACTGTTCGCGTCCAGGAGCGCTGCGACAAAGTTAAGAATCCTTTAACTTTATGCAAACGAAAGTAACTTTCTTGAAAGACAGCCATTAGGAGCACCAGTAGAGCTCAAGCTTTCTCTCAGCTCGCTCAGAGGCTGGATCTTTTCGTGCTGTACAGACCTACACAGACCTCGCATTTGCAGCAGATCGCCACCCAGCAGCTACAAAGTCACTGCTAGTGTGAATGAGGCATGAGACACACATACACAGGCCCTCTGGGATCTTGAGTGGTTTACTGTTACTTTACTGTTTAACTGAGCAATCATCCAAGGCTATTAAATCAAGTGAAAAAGTTTCAATAACTTGTTTTTGTCATAATTTTTTTGTTATGTCTTTATTGTGATATTTTAGTGATTACAGTGTAACTATTGTAGTTTGATTCATAGTTTGAATTAGCTTTTATTTTCTATTTTTTTACTCGGTTTAAATTAAAAATAATCACCAAATTGGTTGTGTTTAGTCATTCATATAGTCATACATTAAAATAAAACATAAATCATTTAAAGACTTTCTGAAAGAAAGTATGAAGCAAAGTTTTTTTATAACAATGTTCAAGAGTATCATTATATTAAACTTTGTTATAAACCTGTATATGCTATAATATTACAACAATACTGTTAAGGTTGACTTGTAAGATTTAAAAAGCTTTAAAATTGTTGTTAATTGCTAGTACATGTTAACTATAACAATAACTACTGTTGCTGTTACCTTCACTGCAACATTGTACCTCTTTATTGCACAATTCAACAGCATTTCCTCTTGTTAAAATAAATGCTGCCTATAGTGAAAGGTGCTGTCTGCTTCTGTGTAAACGCAACAGAGCTGATTTACATAACCCAGATATAACTACAGCTCCGACACAATGAACGATGTTTAGACAGACCTTAAGGGCTTTTATACAACAGCTACATTTGCGTTTGCACTGCTTGCTGATGTTATAAAGCAAATGATATTAAGTCTGTTTTGCTCACTTCCACGATTTGTTAGCAACACAAGGTGACTAATGGCATTTTAAGTGTCTCTCCATCAGTTTGAGCTTTACTACACCATTGGCCTGTGTAAATACTTGCACACATGCATAAACAATGACCTCGGCTGCGATTGGTCAGCGTGTTTGCTCTGATGGAGCGAGTGGTTTGGCTTGGAGAAGCACAGGCTGAAAATAGCCAGGCCCACTGGCATGGCTTTGAATCACTCATGCAGTTTATAGGGCACTGAACAGGTTTAATGAGCCACAGATAAATCTGATATTTCAGTCGTTTCCCTCAACACGCAACCTCGATGTCTAAGAGTGACTTATTTCATGATGCCACTTTATTTAAAGCATTCCATTTAAGCACGAGTGCAAACAGAACATTCTGGATTCACTGTGAGTTACTTGAAATGGTGCAATTAATGCGCAGTTGCTTTAATTACAGCACTTTGGGCCTTAAAATATACTGTATAGGCCTCAAACACAGAGGCCTGCTGTCCTAACAGAGCCAGTTCCCCACCCATGAACGGGGATGAGGTTAAACTCACTTTTTACCAACGCCATGCTAGTGTGTGTGTGTGTGTGCATATTAGCAATGGCAGTTTGTTATAGGGAGTCATCAGTAACTGTCCCCGTGATGCCAGAAGCTTAATTAACCCTCTCTCTCATTAACACTCTCTCTATATGGCTCTCTCTCACTGGCGAACGCACTTTCTCCCTCTCTCTGTGCTCGAGTCTCGGCCAATTACTGAGCCCAAATGGAACGGCATTAATCAAATCTTTAGTGCAGCAGCATGCTTTGAAATATCAGATTACGCAGGGCTGCAAAACTAATATGTCACTGTCAGCCAGCTCGCGCAGGCATTTAGAGGCTAGCATTAACAAGATGGCTAACGTCACGAGCGTCTGCGCGCTATGTGGAACGCCGCTCTAGGGGCCATTAGTAAGACAAGGAAGAGGATAGCAAAGGGTTCTGCTTTCACTCGGCGCTCATTTTTTATGCCCCCTTTCTTCTCTTCCTTCCTCTCCTTCCTCTTTGTCTTCTGCTTCTCTTATTGTTCTGTCAAAAGGCCCGCGCTGCGGACGAGGAAGAATGAGCAAGACAAACGGCCCGGTGAGAAAGGCTCGAAGGAGATTAAGCAAAGGGAGGAAACGGGGGTCAGCGAAGGAAAGGAGGGGTGCTGAAAGGAGGACAATGACGCAAGAAGCTCAAGGAAGGAAAGAGAAAAGGATGAGTGAAATCTAAGGCGGATGGACGGACGAACGTGCTGACCTGTAGGCCCGTACGCAAAAGAAAAATAATTGCAAGCGAAGAAAAAGGATGGCCCTGCGAGGGAAAAAAATGTGCTGTTGCACAGGGAGTTTGGGCGTGCTCTGTGGCAGGAGGCAAAATAGATGACAGTGTAATGATATTAAAAGCGCAAAGTTGTTAAGATGCCAAGTCAAGGCCCCATAAATCCAGCCAGGGCTCCCACTGCCTGTCCCCACACCGCGTAATTAAATCTGATTTATGAGGCGTATTACAGCAGTGAGAGATAGTTCATATTCCAGCTCTGCTTTATTAGACAGCCTGACAGGCGCCAAAAAATATTGTCGAAGTTGCCTCGGCCCGAGCCGCCAAAAAGCCTTGCTCCGCACTCTGTCTTTTGTTGTGTCAGTCCTCCCTTCCCGTGATGGATTAGGCACTCTTTCTCACTCTCTCTTTCATTGGCTCTCCATCTCCTCCCTCAGTCAGAATGTGGAGGAACAGCCCCCTGTGACACGGCCAGACAGCTTCATCTTCATCAGGAGCCCCAACCAACGCCTCCACGCAACCCCCGCCCGCCGCCTGCGCAGGAGAAGAGGAGGGCACAGGTGTGGAAGAACAGAGAGAGAGAGCTTTCTGTTGTTGCAAACCCAGATATCAAAGCTGACTGTTTTCACTGCTGATTATTTCGCTTGAACTTTTTTTTCCGCTGACAAACATTCTTTTGTCTTGAAGTTGATTCTTTAAAAGGTTCTAGAAATCTCAAGAACTTACAATACAATATTTACTTATAAAGCACATTTAAAAACAACCAAAGTTGACCAAAGTGCTGTACAGAGTACTAAAGGCAGGGAAGAAAGCAGAATATGTCGTAGTTACTGCCTTTTCATTAATCAACGACGAATCAGACTTGAGATTTTAAATACCAAAAGATAGACTTTAATTAACACAATAAAGCAGATAAAGTGCAGAGCAGACCTCAGAGCAATCTGAAGTCTCTCCTGGACAAGTATTTTGTGTTCTGTGCACACATTTTATACAGTTTCTCTGCTCCACCTCTAGGTGTTCTCATTTTAACTTCTGACATCCTTGGATAAGTTTTTACTTTCAAGTACATGTTTAGGTGGTCCTGTTATTCTTGGCTCTCAGCCCTACTAACTCAGGTCTATGTAGGCAACTGTTTTCACACCTGAGATGCAACTTCTTCTAAGTGTTTACATACATTCTCATCATGGTAAATTAACTTGATATTATGTTGCTCACTCTGCTGAATGCATTTCACAGATATAGCTTCATATGAGTATTTAACATACAGTTGAAGTCAGAATTATCAGCCCCCCTTTGATTCTTTCTTCTTTTTTTTTTTTTAATATTTCCTATGTTTAACAAAGCAAAGACATTTACACAGAAAGTCTGATAATATATATATATATATATATTTTTTTTTTTCTGGAGAAAGTCTTATTTGTTTTATTTTGGTTAGAATAAAAGCAATTTAAATTTATTTGTAAACCATTTTACGGTTAAAATTATTAGCCCCTTTAAGCATTTTTCCCGACTGTCTTCAGAACAATCCACTGTTATACAACAACTTGCCCAATTACCCTAACCTGCCTAGTTAACCTAATTAGCCTAGTTAAGCCTTTAAATGTCACTTTAAGCTGTATAAAAGTGTCTTAAAAAATATCTAGTAAAATAATTTTCACTGTCATCATGGCAAAGATAAAATAAATCAGTTATTACAAATGAGTTATTAAAACTATTGTGTTTAGAAATCTGTTGAAAAAATCTGCTCTCCAACAGAAATTGGGGGGAAAATAAACAGGAGGGCTAATAAATTTGACTTCAACTGTATATAATCAGTGTTTTACATATTCAGTATTCTACATAATCAATCATTCTTCAGCATAGCCTTCTCATAGTGTTGCTCCTGTGCAGGCTTACTCAAACCCAGTTTTAGCCTGGCTCATGTTTACTGCACACTACTACATACTTACAAAGAATAAAAAAATCTTCTTTATATATAAAAGAAACATTTAACAAAAAAAAGCAATAAAGCAGTGATCAAGGAGTATTAAAAGCAAAGGAAAATAGATTGCTCTTTAACATGGACTTAAACACAGAATTGAAGGGGGGGAAAGGAATGTGGATTGGTAGAGTGTTCCAGAGTTTAGGACCAGCAACATCAAACGTTCGACCAGCTTCTTTTAGGGCATGTTCTAGGCACGGTGAGTAAATTGAGATCATAAGATCTCAATGAATCAGAGGGGGTATACGGACAGAGTAAGTCAGTAAGGAGCCATATATATATTTACATTGGGTGTTGCCTACGCTATTGTTGTCTGTTGGAAGGAATAAATAGAGCCACCATTTTAGTACAGGGTAGCGCTGCTTTGAAATAAAAGTGGGACCAATGTGCAGTGGAGGACTGTCCACGCTGAGCCTGAGATATATACACACATATCTATGACCGGGGGTTTTCCCAGTGGTCAGTAAGCAAATATTTGTTTTTAATAATTATGGAAATTATAATTTTACATCTCTTTTCTACATCGGTGGATAAGTGACCACACGGGCCTTCCTAATAAAGAGCATGTGTTTGTGTGTATGATAATGTATTATCCACCCTCCCTGTGAAATTTGATCTAATCCGTGTCCTGAAACAGACACTCTCTCCTGCTTTCATTTTAAATTCTAACGGAGGGAGCGATTCATTTGTGAACACCAAGTTTCTAGCACTGCAGCTTCTTGTTGTCTTCATGTACATTGTTTGCTTACTTTATTTAACAAAACTAGCATAAGCCTAACTAGCATATTTAGTGCGAGTTGTTGCCACTTTGCCTTATGGTCAGTGCAGTAAGTGACTGTATTATCTTAAATACTTGTTTAGCACAAAGTTTATAACATACAAAATCATAAAAACTAAATCTCACCTATGAAATGTTATGCCTCTGTGCTTTATTTTAATTGTTTGCTCATTATTACATTCATACACAGTGCTAAAGTCCAGCATCTTCACATTGGCTTTAATCTTGACTAGTGCGGCTGAATGACATTTGTGCTGGGAGCACTGTATAAATGTGGCGGCGCTATAAATGCATGCTTAGGGTCCGTCTGCGATATCTAGTGTATATTTCCATGCTGAGGAGCAAGATTATTGACGGCTTTGTAAACAAATAATAATTATTTTGAAATCAATTCAGTATTTAATGGGTAACCAGTAAAGTGCATCTAAAATAGGAGTTACCGACTCATACTTGCGGGTGCCAGAGAGTAGTCTAGCAGCTGCATTTTGTACCAGCTGCAAACGAGAGAGAGAAGACTGAGAAATACCATAATAGAGAGAGTTACAGTAATCCAGACGAGTTGTAATGAAAGCATGAATCACAGTTTAAAAATTTCTCTGGGATAAAAAAGGATTGATTTTAGACAGTTGTCTAAGGTGGTAGGAGCAGGATTGAACAACAGTACTGATCTGTTTGTCAAATTTCTTGTCAAAAAGTTTTTCATCAAACATAACCCCGAGATTTCTTGCACACTGGGTAATATGCAGTGACTGTAAAAAATATGGACATAGTTTCCGTGACGTCACCCATAGGTTTCGGAAGATTGCAAATTATGCTACACAGAGACGTGGCCAATCTTTATGGAATTAGATTAGTCCCAAATAAAACGCACAAAACTTTTCCAAAAACTAAGACAAATATACATTAACAAATAAAAAAAAACATTCATACACATTGTAAAAGCATCACTATTTCCACAATAACATTATTCAAATCAGCATTTTAGACTAGATTTTTAAGAATCATGTGACATTGAAGACAAATAAATTTTTCAACCAGTTAGCAGACATATCTTGTATCATATTTTATGTAAGTGAAAGTACTGTTATCAGTGGACTTCTATAATAAACATTTGCATTCATTGACATTTTAAATAACTCCAGTGATCTCAGCTTGCAATGCTTTTAAGAAACGCAGTCCAATGCATACAAGTAACGTTAACGATAAAGTTGCATTGTTCCCATCATCATAGCAAAAAAAAAAAAAAAAAAACTTACATCAGGCTGCCCTGAGAGTCCTGCCGAGAATGCTGGAGCCAGGAATGAATGAATCCCAGGTAAGCCCACCTCCATGAGAGCATTGTCAGAATTATTCATTCATTTATTTTATTTTCTGCTTAGCCCCTTTTTAAATCTGGGGTCGCCACTGCAGAATGAACCGCCAACATATCCAGCATATGTTTTACACAGCGGATGCCCTTCCAGCTGCAACCCATCTCTGGGAAACATTTATACATACTCATTCACACTCATACACTACAGACAATTTAGCCTACCCAATTTACCTGTACCACATGTCTTTGGACTGTGGGGGAAACCGTAGCACCCGGAGGAAACCAACGTGAACGCAGAGAGAACATGCAAACTCCACACTGAAACACCAAGTGACCCAGCCAAGGCTCGAACCAGTGACCTTCTTGCTGTGAGGTGACAGCACTACCTACTGCGCCACTGCGTCGCCCATTGTCAGAATTGCAAACGTAAATGAAAACTCTGGCAGCACAATCAAAACTGCGTTTATCGAAAGAGAAGCAGAAAGTGAACCAAAGTAATAATTATTTATTTTTGAAGTTTTTTTTTTTTTTTTGCCATTTGGTTGATTGTTTTGTATTTTTTGAGTGTTTTTTTAGTTTGTTAATGTATATTTGTGTTTATTTTAGGAAATGTTTTGTGCGTTTTATTTGGCAAAAAACTAATTCCATAAACCAACCAGGGGATACCAAACAAGGGCAAGGAGGCAGAGCGTGAGTGGAGCTACAGACACCTGCTGTAAATTAAGTGCTAAGTCTTTTTAAACACTGTTGTAATATATTGAGTTGAGTTGAATATATTGTGTTGTAATATACATTGCTCTTATGATGTTTTTCTACAGGAGGAAAACGCAAATTACTTCCAAACACTTAAAATATAGTCTGGCTAATCAGTCAGAATGACATGACGGCGACCAGTGAGACTTAGCTGTCACTCAAGTGGTCACGCCCTTAATTATGTAGACCTAATATAACTTAAACAAAAGAAAATGGATGAGTTATAAAAAATCCCCCCTCACAGTTGTCATGAAGGGTAATACTATATATATGCACTAAAACCATCTTTTGTACCAGGCTGTAAACATGTTTTTATCAGCTGTAAAATTGGCCAATTTTGCATTGCAGTCAGTGAACACCTGGAGTTTCTGGAGCCAGCCCCCAAAGGCGAGTCGATGAATTGCAGTTTCAGTTAATTCTGTATTGGCTTCATGAGGGAGAGCGGGATGTTACCGCTTGGTAATATGTGGGGCCAAAGATCCCACATTGACATTTAACAGAGAGTTTTCCTTGAGCCCAAATACAATTGCTTCAGTTTTATTTTCGTTTAAATTTTTAAAATGGCATGAGAGCCAAAGATCTTATGCCAAATATTTGTGAAAATGGACCATTATCACTGTGGTAGTCACCCACACAGCTCTCCATTGATTAAACCCGAGAGACACAACAGGAGAGAAAACATCTCAGCGGCAGACCTTAAAGATTAGAGAGAGAGCGAGAGCAGATAAAAGAAGAAAGGATGAGTGCAGGAGGCGAAAAAAAAAAACAGCAGCTGATGTTAACGAGCTGGGACACTTTTATTATCATTATTAATTAGAGCTTTTCAAGCAACAGAATTAAATCAATACGCTGGAGTGAAACAAATTTCAGAAGGCCGCTCAGATCAATCAGGAAGGGTTTTTATCTGCGTAACTGCCACTGAGCTAAGCTCGTTAGTGAAACAGTCGTTAACAAGGCACTTGCGGCAAGAGGATAGATCTGAGCTATTTCTAATTAGGAGGACATAAACCCAGCAACCATTTCTCCTCTCTGATTAACTGTTAAGTTCATTTGTGATTTTACCCCCTCCTACTATCCTCTTTCTTTGTCTGTCACAAACACGCAGACACAATCCCGAT